GTGTAGAGGCCTGACCACCACACTGTATTTCTGAAACTGATGTTGAATAATATTGTATGTCAACTACAATTATATATGCATATAGTCATGGGATGTAGAGTAGAGAGTGGGAATGGAGTCAATGGAATTGTAATAGATAAGTATGACATCAAGAGTGGGAGGGCAGTCAATGGAGGGAGGGGGGTTGTTACTCTGTGAGGATGAAAAGGATAACTATTGCATTGTTCTGTACACCTGAAACTAATAAAAATAAATAAAAAAAAACCTCAGTTTTCACAGTAGCCACATATCATGTTCTCGAGCCAATTGTGGCTAGTGGTTATTGTATTAGACAGCACAGAATAGATTATTTCCATTATTAAAGAAAATTCTGTTGGGTACCACTGCTTCAGATTGTTATGACCATTTGTATTATGTTAAAAAGTCATATTTTTTCACAGCTCCCCTTTTAAAGATAGATTATTTTCTAAGCTGGGTGAAGGTTAGTTTTGAGATGGATAGTGCAGGAGGTAGGGAGATCAAATAAGAATTATGTTGCTCTTTAGGAGAGATTTAATCATTGATGTAGAAGAGTGTTACAAGAGATGCAGAGAAGGCGACACTTGGCAGCACTTTAGGATGTAAGGTCATTGGTATCTTATTGGGAGGTGAGGTGCGGAAGGGGAGTGATACGACTTCTCAAGTGACTGGATCTTAGCTCCTGTATTTTTATATATATGGCACCAACTCATAGAAAATACTGGAGAGAATAGATTGGAAGACTCGGAAGACTCCTTAGGTTTAGGTTTTGAATTTAAGGTACCTTGTAGAAAAGGGAGGTTACTTGAAATTAATTTGTTGGAAAGTATTGCAAAATCCATTTCAGGTCAGTGTAGAGAAATTTCTAATAATCATAATTGTCCAGAGTAGCAGTTGCCTGCATTGGGAGATAGTGAGCTTTCTTATATCTTCAATATGTGATCATATGTGGGAAATTATTTTGCTAGATTATGAGCAGATTCAGGTATTATTAAGTAATCTTTAATTTCTGTACCTTGGGGATTTATGATGAACATATTTAATAATATGCCACCTCAACTGTGTCTTCATTTTTGACTAATTAAAATTTCTGTTTCTTTCACGTGTTTGTAACATCAGCCACAATTATTAATTTATGGTTCAATTAATACAGAATATAGGTCTCTTCTTACTAGAGACATCATATAATTCTTTTCTTAATATAGACTAAATTTGAGCCACTGCAGGTTTTTTTTTATTAATTTTTTGAAGAAAGTTATTCACTGGGAAATGCATGTGATAAACTACCTGATAATAAACTTACGTTAAATATTAATCTGACTTGTGGAAACTGTGGTACTCTATATAGTGTAAGATGCATTGCACATTATCAGAAATCTTAACCAATTGACATGGGCACATTATATTTAGAAAATAGAAAAATTTACTGGAATAGTAAATGTAAAGGATGCACACATTTCAATATTATGTATGGTTGTTTATAATGTAGTAGTAAATTCAAATGTAAAGAGTGTTTTTTTTTTTTTAGCACAAATGTAAAATTGCCTTTTTTTTTTTACTCCCTTCTGTAGGATGTGTTTAGCTTTCAAGTATCTCCTAATATGAATCCTATCAAAGTAAATGAATTGGCAATCCAAAAACGTTTGACTATTCATGGGAAAGAAGATGAAGTTAGCCCCTGTGACTATGTGTTGCAAATCAGTGGGAGAGTAGAATATGTGTTTGGTGATCACCCACTAATCCAGTTTCAGGTATATGTATTAACTATCAATTTACCAGAGGAGGGTGTGTGTGTGTGTGTGTATTTAAAAATTAAAATTTCTGATCAAAAAATGTGTTACCATAGTAGAACATTTGGAATCTACAGAAAATTATACAGAATTAAACAATAGATATCCATAATCCCATCTACCTCTGGGATAACCACTGTTAACACTTTGGCATGTTTTTGTCATTTTACTTCAAGTTATATATATTTTTGGCATAATGATTATATATATTATGTGTGTATCTATAATGTTTGCTTCCTGCTTTTTTTATTGAGTAATTCAATGTTATAATTTCCTATAGCATTATGAATTCTTCATACAATTTGTTACAGTTGCCTGCTATTTATTTCATCATATAAACGTAATGATTTATATAAAAATATCCTGGTGGAAGTAAAAAATGAAATATTTTGATTAAATGACCACTAATTGAATTGTATAATAACTTGTTTGTGATTATCAGTTAACTATGTAAAGTAATAGTATGAATTTTCATTGTGTACTAGAAAACTTTTCAGTTTCAGTATAATATTTATATGTGTAAGCTCTCTGCTCCTTTTTTTGGGGGGGAATTGGGGAAGGGGAACAGCCAAGTTGTCCTTAAATCTTAGTTGTGGAGGGCGCAGCTAGTTCAGCTCCAAGTCCAGTCGCCGCCCATTGGCAGCTTGCAGCTGCTCAGCTCAAGGTGCCGTGTTCAATCTTAGTTGCGGGTGGGCATAGCCCACAATCCCATGTGGGAGTGAAAGCGGCAACCTTGTTGTTAGGAGCACGTGCTTTCACCAGCTGAGCCATCCTGCCCACCTGTTGGCAGCTCAGCGGCAGCTCAGTTTGGGTGCAGCTCACTGGCCCATGTGGGAATCGAAACGGCGACCCTGTTGCTCAGAGCTCGCACTCAACCAACTGAGCCACTTGGCCGGCCCTCTCCTTTTTTTGTTACTTCCAATGTGGCTGGAATTTTGTAAAAATTAGGTTGACCATCCTCAAAAACTTCACTTAATCTTTGAGATATTAATTAACTTTAGTCATGAATTCTCTGATTATATGCTTTATGGAAGGCATTTAATTGCCTCAGATATTTTTGGAGTGAAGTGGAGTTTAAGATATGTGCAGTGCAATACCCTTCCCCCATCGTGACGTATGCTATTTGAAGGATAGGATCCTGGCTTTGCCTTCAAAGAACTTAAAGGTATTTTAGTTGAAATTACATTTGGCGATGAAAAAATGGTCATTACATAAAGAATAATAGGCTCAGTGCCAAGTTAGATAAATAGTAACAAGATTTTAGAAAAACATGATCACTTTTATTTGTGATTTTTGTCGTTTTGTTTTAATAAAGAGTACATAAATGCCAATTATTAAATGATGTTCGAGAGTAAGAAGCTGATTTATTAGCAGGTAACAGGGAATTTTATATCCCTGTTTTAAGATTTTTGGTGTGGCCCTTAATTCTTGTGCTTTAGTAGGTAGAAAGTCAAACAGCAGTTACAACTTCTGTACACAGCTTTGGGAGCTGTGGCATTCTGATAGTAAGTGCTTGAACTCTAGCCCATGCGAGGAAGAAGGATGATGAAAAATGCTTGGTGGAAGCATAGAAATAGAAGTACTGTCTTCGTCCCTTCATGTTTTGCCATCTTTTAAGTAGCCTCCTGTTTCTTTAACACTTGTTTTACCTTGAGAAGGGGGAGGTGTAGTGTTTTGCCAAACATTGGAATTGATTATTATAAAGAAAAATAAAGACATGCATATGTTTTTGTACAGGTCATAAGAGAGACAATATACAGTGTAGGCAAAGGAATGTGAAGGAAATGGAATGATACATCTTTCACAGTGAAAAGTTTTAAATGAATATATTTATCATAATATCATATAGCTCCCACTTAAAGGCCAGCCTGGGAATGTTTTGTTGTTTTTATAATTTTTATTTAAAAGTATTTTTAGTGGTTCTGAATTGAATACAATACATTGAATCACACTTCATATCTGTATAGGAAAGTTATTCTTTTGAGTAATACATTGGGTTTCTGTTCACTCGTTAGAAATCTTTGGTAATGTGAATAACCACACTTATATGCCTCTGGAGAATCACCCTGGTTTCATGGAAATAAAACAGAGCATCAAGCTTTTTTGATGGCCAATAGATTTTTTTCTGGGGAGATAGTAATGGTTGCCTGGTACTCTGTGGTGAGAAGGTACCAGGTCTACCTCAAGGATCCATGGGAAAGGATGAGTTGGCCACCTGAGGACTTAAGAAATGGCCACGTGTGTATTTACATGTTTATCTTTCCTGATTGATTGGTGAAAGCTGCACTGCGATCTTAGTCTGTGAAGATCAAGTCCTGCCCTGGAAAGGTGTGCTGATTGGTCAAATTGTCAGGTATTAAGTGTAGAAAAGAGAAGACAAAACATTTAGACTGAGGCATGTTATTTTTTCAAGGTTTAGCAGATAAACAAACAAAAGCCAGGTGGCGGATTTAAATCCAGGTCCTGGAGCCGGCCGAGTCGCTCAGTTGGTGAAGAGCTCACTCAAGAGTATGAGCTCTGAGCAACAGCGGTTCGATGCCCGGCCCGAGCTGAGCTGCCGCTGAACTGCCAACAGGTTGCAGGATGGCTCAGCTAAAAAAAAATAAAAATAAAATAAATCCAGGTCTGAAAGATACTAGGTGTGTAACTTAACCCACCTGATTTTCGTTCTTTATTAAGTGAGGGATAATCTCTTTTACAGAGTTTTTATGAAGAGTAGCTAACATGAGAAGTTAAATACTTAGCTCAGTTCTTGCGTACTTAGATGTTCAATTAATAGCTTTTTAGTTAGTTAGCTTAGTTCTTATGTACTTAGATGTTTAATTAATGGTAGCTTTTTTATGTTGTGATTTTAATTTCTAATCTTGATATTGAGTTAAAATATTCTTTCGTAGTGTACTTGTTGTACACTAAGTGTTGCTCATCTTAATTTTATTCTTCTATTCATTTAAGTATTTGCTCAAATATCCTTACCTTATTGTTTCTTGCTACTGTTAGTATATCCGGAACTGTGTAATGAACAGGACTTTGCCCCATTTTATTCTTGTGGAATGTTACAAGATCAAAAAGATGTATGAACAGGAAATGATTGCTATAGAAGCTGCCATAAATCGAAATTCATCTAACCTTCCTCTTCCTTTACCACCAAAGAAAACGCGAACTATTTCTGTAAGTTTCATGTGTGAACTTTTGGAAACCCCAAGAGGCATGTGATTTTGTTAGGTTGTATGCTTAAATTTCACCCATATTTTCTTTGCTCACTTCTTCTATGCCAGTGATCCTTCACCATTTATTAATAATTATCTGTTAGCTACTGTTGTTTTTCCTTACTCAAGCTATGTATAAATGTAAATATGCCATTTATATTTTTGGTGGTCTTTTGGTGCCAAAGAAATATGCCACTAAATTAGAGATGTCTTGAGACTAGAGCTAAACATGGGACTTCAATGAGTAATTTGAGACATTGTGATAGAAAAGTTAGATGTGCAGAAATAGTTTATTTACTAGTATATTTCATTTCTATCAGCTTAGCTTTGATAGTGTTTGTGTTATAATTTGCCTGTTTTCTTACTGAATACTTTTAAACTTTAACTGTATCAAAGCACCATTTTTTCCAGAATGTGATAAATTTGTGTAAAGCAAATTTTAAATTTATGCTCATGGGAACAGTTAACATTTTAAAATAATTATTCATTCTTAAATTGTATTTAGCCACTTACTGATGATTAAGATATTACCTACATATTAATTTAAATGGTCAATTCTTAATATATTCAAAGCTTTTAATGCTTTTTGTTTATGGTCTTTAATTTAATGAATCTCTTCACAGTATTGGAATGCTGCCTGTTTTTTTTTCCATGGGAACGAAGGGCTAGTGGTTATGATGCTTAATTTAGCATGTGTGACTTTCACTTGTTAGTTCAGAGGTCTGTTTTCATTAGTTTGACAATGGACATGAGAACTGATAAGATGATTTCATTGCTAACGTAAAATATTTAAATCTTTCATTAAAATACTCTTTCATTTTTTTACAGCATGTGTGGGAAAATAACAACCCTTTCCAAATTGTCTTGGTTAAGGGAAATAAACTTAACACAGAAGAAACTGTAAAAGTGAGTATTTGCTAAGATTTGAATTGTCATCTCCATTATTTGAGAATCTCACTGATATGCTCAATGACTGTCACATTGGAAATTAAATTTTACCCATTTTGGCCAATTACATAAAAATAGAATATGGCAAGTTATTATAAGACAATTAAGAATTTTTGTTTTAAAGTATTCTTTAAATATTTGGAGATGTGCTAGATAGATTGAACTTTTCCAGTATATATAAGGTGAGAGAAATTGCTTTAGATCAGAAATTTAGCAAGTGAAATTTAAGCTGAAACTATTAGTCACATGTTTGTATGCAAGCTTACTCTCTTTTCTCAGCCTTGCGTAGAGTTGCACCCAGCCTCCTCTCTCAGCCCGCTTCTTTTTCTTTTAAAATTGCTGAACACAGAAAATGTAATACCATTTCCTGGAAGAAAATAGATGACTACATTATAGACCACAAGTTGTTAACACATGAGGATTTATTGCACAACTCTATACAATTAAGTGAAGACTTAACTATGCACTTTGTCTCAAAGTATAAAGCATGCATTTTCCTCTATTTTGCTTGGCAGGAAATTAAGTGAATAGTTTTGTGATCGAAGAAAGAGATTCAGTTAGTTTGAGATGTTTGCTGGCATGATGATATATTCAGGAGTACCTTGCCAAAGATTACCAATGGCTTGCTTTTGTAAGAGGACATTAAAGATTCTTTGGGTAGCTGTCATTAAAATAAGAGCTTTTTCGATCTTATATTCTCAGCTAGAATTTTTAATGAGTGTGCTTATGCCACTTAGTCTTTGTTTTCTATTTTAGTTGTAATTTAAATTTTTCCTTTAATTAAAATTTGTTTTACTATTTTTTACCCCAATTGTGGAAGTATGACATTGCTGCAACAGGTAAAAAAAAGTCCAAACATGATTAAAGAATAAAGTTACTGATCTCTCCTAATCATCTCTTTATCATCATATGAGATTTAAGGTTAACTGGCATTGTGAGTGAGCTCTGTATTTATATAAATATAAATATATGGTTTGGGGATTGAAGGGGTTTTAGTTTTTTATTTTGTTGATTGGTTGGTTCGTTAAAAAGGGATGATATTATATACATTATTCTACAGCTTGATTTATTCACTTTATAATATATCTTGGGTAGTCCGAAATATTCAATAGAAATCCTTGGGCAGTATATTTCTAAAGGCAAAAATCACATATAGGCAAATCTATCCTCAAGTTATATGGAGTATAATATACATATGTGTTTTTGTTTAGTGACTTGTGTGATTAGATGTGTAATTTACATTGTAAAAAATGCGAATTCCTACTTGTTCTTTCCATTTGTCGTTTATCATATTTATCTTCTGTAGATAATTTACATTATTTAATTCTTTAGTAGTTATTCTCTGCAGCCTTTTATTATTTAACGTTTTCCTGATGAAGACCAAAGAAGCCTTTACTACCTGCTTTATTTTCTTGAGCATTACATATTATTTCTTTGTCAATGACAAAATGAATTATTTCTTTGTCAGTGACATTTTATTTCCATAGGTTTGCCAACTTCCTTTAGCTATTTCAAGCTGGATTGATTTTATTGTTTGTGGTCATATGTTCTTAGAAGTAATGGGCTTAATGACATATACTATTTAAAGAATCCCCCACTCAAAAAAAAAAAAGAAGTAGTAGTATCCCCCATTTCACTTCATCTAGTTCTCTAGTCTTCCCTTGCCGACCCTTTTTCTTTTTCCAGTGGGGTTAGATAGTTGAATTTAAGTAAGTTAATGCAATTACGGCATGATTTTCTTGTAGATACACCCCATTCTGTTTAATTGCTGCACAGGCTAGGAGCTCTGGTACAAGGATGAAAAGAAATGTGAAGAAAAAAAAAGAGGGGGTGTGCACCTATTACTTCTTTCTTTCCAAATTTTTTTCCTGGCTAGGACCTACAGTATGATGTTAAATAGAAGTGATTAGAGTAGATATCAGTCAGAATTCTCCAGAGAAACAAACAGAACCCATAGGTATGTGTGTGTTTGTGTGTACATGCATGTGCACACAGATATGCACATGCAGACACAGATTCATTTAAGGAATTGGCTCACATGATGATGGAGTTGGTTATCTTCTATGATCTTTGGGGTTACTTTGCAAACTGGAGACCCAGGAGGACCGATAGTTTAGTTCTAGTCAGAGTCAAAAGGCCTCAGAACCAGGAGAGCCTTTTGTGTAGTTCCTGTTGAAGGCTGGCAGGTTCAAGACCCAGGTCAGACCCCTCAAAGATAATCTCCCTTCCTTAAAGTCAGCTATGTCATATAGTGGGTCGTCGGGAAAGTCTTGACGCCTTTTTGCATTGAAAAACATGAAAAATACGTTATGACTTTCCCTACAACCCAATAGTATAACCTAATCATGAGAGTGAGATCCATTACATTCACAGTCCCAGAGATCTTACAGGGCACATGACTCTGGAGTCTGTAATGAAAATTCTAGCTATTCAGTGAAGATTCATTATTCGGCCTGGCTGGCACTTCAGTGTCTTTCAACTCTGTGAGAATGCTTAGAATTCTGTAACATACTGCTTGTTTCCTGGTCAGTCTTTTCCCAGCCTTGTTTCATTTTTCTGGCGTGTATCTTACTATTCAGCAGAAGCCTGAACTCAGTACTGCCTAAAACCTAGAAGGTGGTGTTAGTACAGTCAGAGAGCTCGCAAGAAGCTCTGGTTATAGCTGTAGTGGCAAAGGGGTCTTCTAACTTTCAGAGAAAGTGAAGTTTTCCCCTCTCTTTTTTGTTTCCTATTCCTTTCTCAGTTCTCATTTGCCCCAGTGTCGAAGAAGTCCTTTGGCAGCAGTAGCAGCAACAGGGACAGGCTTAAAATGCAGAGTTGAACCATCTTCTCTGATTAGAGGAGTTGTAGTCTCAAGAGAATGGGGTAAATCCTCACTGACTCCCCTCAACTCCTCCTTTCTGTCTTTCTGCTGTTTGGCATAGTTGCAGGAAGTGTGGGTGAATAAAGACTCAGCTTTCTGGCTGGATGACAAGAAAAGGCCAGCCCCAGGCAACCAAAAAATACTTGGATGATTGCAGAGTGGGAGGAGCTTGGGAAATCAACCCCATGAGGTTGTTTATACTTACATGTTTATTCCTGAGCTGTACATTGTGGATCTGAGTCTTAACTGCCTACATAATTTGAGAACTGAAGTGTGCATACTTGTAAACTACCACTCAAGTCTCAGACTGGTCACAGTATGATGCACACATAGGACAGAACCAAATAGGCCCTGCAAAGGATTTGAAAACTGAGCCAGTATTGGCACCAGCTTACAGAGGGTTTGTTGGAACTTGTACCCTGTACCTAATCATTGTCTCACAAAACAAACATAAACTCCATAGGATATAAACAAAACCCAGAGTCGTATAACATAATGATAAAAATGTGTAGGATACAATTTAAAATTAAGTGACATATAAAGAACCAGGAAAATCTCAATTGTATGTACAAGATAACAGATATCAATGCTGAGATGACATAGATTTTGGAATTATCTTACAAAGATATTAAAATAGTTATAAAAATGCTCCAACAACTAAGGGCAAACACAATTGGAAGGAATGGAAAAATAGAAAGTCTCAAGAAGCATGAAATAGAAGATATAAGGAGGAACCAAATGGAAAGTTTAGAAATGAAAATTAAAATAACTGGGCCGGCTGTGTGGCGCGATGGTTGGGAACTGGCTTGGGACGCCAGAGGGCCCCAGTTCGGATCCCACATATGAGGGCCAGTGACGCTGCCCTCTACAGCTAAGATGCTGAACAACAGCTCGACCTGGGGCTGGGCTGCCGTGAGTGCCGGCGATGGCGTAGGCTGCAGCCTCTGTGGCAGTGGGTTGCCATGGGCTACCGTGTGTAGACAGCAGCCAGTGTGAGCGGCCAGCAGCCGCAGTGAGCGGCCATCCAGAAGCCGGCGACTGATCTGCCTCGCCTGGGAAGAGCGCAGTGATGATGCCAACTTGGGCCAGTGAAGCAACGTCCTCCACAGCTAGACTGAAGAGCAAGACAACAGCAACTTGTCTGTTCCCCTTCCCCCAATTCCCCAGCACTGTTCCCATCCCCCAATTCCCCAATAAAAATCTTTAAAAAACAAACAAACAAACAAGAAAACTAAAAAATTTTCTGAATGGACTTAATAGTGGAATGCTAATGAAAAAGGAGCGAGTCAGTGAACTTGAAGATTAATCAAAAAAAATTTCCAATTTGAACAACAGAGAGAGAAAAGCGATTGGGGGAGAAAAAAACTAGAGCCTATGACAATATCAGAAGGTCTAACATTTGTGTAACCTGAATCCCAAAAAGAAAAGACAAAGAGTGTGATTCAGAAAAACTGTAAAGAAATTATCACTGGGAGCTTTCCAAAGCCGGCGAAAGATGTCAATACTATAGCAGATGCAGGAAGCTCAGCGAACCCCAATGATAAACCCAGAGAATTCCAAGCCCAGATACATCCTGTATCACACTTATTAGTCATGAATCATAACCCCCATTGCCTAGTTATATGGGTGTCAGCACTCCTAATCTGTCTGTTAAGATGATATAACCTGAGGAAAGAAATTGTAACTTAATATTTTTATCTCTTCAGTTTAGTGCCTAGAACTCTAAATAAATATTTTTGCAATGAATTAATATATTTTAATGTAACTATCTGTAATATCTTTGTATTCTTAAAGGTTAGCTCACAGCATCTCCTACAAATCAGAACAAATCTGCCTCTTTACAAAGTGATATACTTACTTCATGAAATCATGGGCATTTCAGCCTGTTCACTCTACTGATCTTTTTTTGTGTGTCTGATATCTGAAGGCAAAATGTAGTGGATTTTGGCCATATTGTCGAAGAAGGAAATTAGGTGTTGATGTTGGGAAAAAGTTTTATATCTTGTCCAACACAGAACATGTTTTTTTTTTATTAATGGTTTCAGGTGTACAAAACAATGTAATAGTTATACATTTCACCCCTCACAAAGTGATAACCCCCCTCCCCCAATCACAGAACATTTTTAATTGGTGAGTTCAGCAATGCAGTCTGTGTGTAGGCTTGGCACATCCTTGCTGTAGCACAGTGGGAAGTCCTTTGCATTATAAAACCTGCCTTCTCTTGCTCTCCAAGTGTTCTGGGGCTTGTGAGAAAGTGTCTCTTTGGAAGTTTACTACTGTTGGACAATAAAATGTGTGACTGTATTAAGCATAATGGTGCTTAAATTCTTCACTTTTCAGAGCCTGGAGACATCCATACCAGGCATCAGGAAATGGGACCGTTTTTGACAAAATTTCTTGTGATACAAGTTTAGAGAATGGTTTTTCTTACTGCTTTTTCTGAAAACAAAATCTTAAATACCTGATACCATGGGAGATTTTAAATTTAGAAAACACAATTTAAAAAAAAATTTTATTTTAAATGTAGATTATTTTTTTCAACTCTTGTTTATTTTTAACCATATATCTACTTTAATCATTTAAGATTTCTCGAGAAGACATAATTTTAATGACTTGGTCTTAAATAAATCACACTTTGACTATTAGATAATGAATGATATTTCAACACATTTCCTCAGAATATACAGGGTCTCTTTTTTATTATGACCATGCCCAAACCAAGTTAGACTCATTCTTTCTTATTCTTTTCCAGAGCTCACCCTTTGCTGTTGCTGTTTACAGCTAGTATAGGACTTTTCTAGCCATTATACTTGAAGTTTTTTTTAACTTTATAGCTAGCTGATCTATAATTTTACTTCATTCCCTATGTCCGAATTTTGCCAGAAGTTGTTTGATGGAATTATAACTAGCATTTTTTTGTTTTGTTTTTAAAAAAAGATTAACATTTATTGAATACTTATTTAGTAGGTGCTTGCTTGTTTGTATTTCGCAAAAATTGTCAAAAAGCAAGAGATGCTAACGTTTTTAAGCTCAGCAGTTTATTTTAAGTAGCTTGACTTTATCACAAAAACATTGAAAAATAATTCATTTTTTAAACTTGAAATTTTTATGAATAAACTATATGTTTCATATTCAAAAGGTGATAAATCCATAGGTCTTTACGGTCACTGAGATTTAAGAGTTGAATATCATTTTTATCCTGAAATTCCTAGCTTCCATCCTATCATACGAAAGATGCAAAATATGTTTTATGTATGTTTGGTTTTACTTAATTTTATTTCACAAATGATTTTCGGAACGTGCATTCCCACTTGCACGCTTCTTGCTTGCGCTCTTCTCTGTACACACACACACACACACACACACACACACACACACACACGAGAGAGATCACACACACACACACAAACACACACACTTTCGTTCTCACAAATACAAAATATACACAGTTTTGACTTTTAAAAAATAAGAGTATATTTAATGGCCAGAAAAGTCAGGAGCAAGATTCACAGTAGGTGTGTATAATATGTAGTAAGATCTTGTGTAATTGTTTGATATGGACTACTGATTTTGCTCTCTGCTTGCGATATAGCTAGTGGTCAGAACAAAGCAAACATGACCAGTTTATAATATTCAGAATCGCCTAAGATAAAAACTAACTAGTTATTCATGTATTTGTAGCTCATCCTGATACTGTAAATTTAGAGACGTTTAGCAGTTCTTTATGAAGCGAACAGTGGGTGATAAAGTGGGCACCCATACCCCTGACAGCATCATTATAGTAGATACAATGTTTCCTGTATCTGTCTCTTACAATATGTTTTACTGGATAGACTTAAAATATAATATTTACAGTACAATTAAAAAAAAAGTCATTCTATGAGAGACCAGAATAATTCAGTCAGCACTGTACTCAACCATGTGATTTTTGTCTTTAATTGAATGGTAATATTTGGATTTTCCCAAGGAATTTATTGTGTATCTTTCAGGAAATTCTGTAAGCATGTTTTCACTCAAAACTGGGTTTTGGGTAAGGAGTAGGCAGTAGAAGACTTTGTTTTGGTTATTTAAGATCAGTTATATACATACATATGAGAGCAAAGCATATATACTTTGATCATCAACTGAACCTAGGGTAGAATTAAAGTAATCTTACTATGGATATGAAGTTCCTAAGCGGGATCATGTGGGAGTAGATGGCAACCCTCAGCCTGCCCCTCACTGTAGTTTACATGGAGGCGGTGGAGTGTTGCATATCTATGCTATAAACTGCATTTTTCGTCCATCCCTCTACTTCATCCCAACAACCCCCTCCTCAATCCGCCCCACCTACATGACTTTATAATTTAGTAACAACAATCTATCTCTAGTTGCTGAGTATTGGCTTCTGATTTTTATATTACGTACATCATTTGATCTCCCTGTTTAACACATTAAGTGCCAAGTCTGTTGTCTTCCTTTCCGTTTAGCCCGCGATATCCGATTTCACTGATGTGCTTTCTCTTCAGTCATTTGTCTGTGGTTTGTGTTCCAGTGCAGCTTAAAAAATTTTTCTTTACCCATAATAGTGACGTCAGTAGAAGAAATGTGTGAAAGCGATTCAAGTGAAATTAGTTTTCTTAATAGAAGAATATAATTTTTTAAATTGTATATCGTCAGTCACCGGTGACTGACGCCGTCCGAACGGCAAGTATAGTGTCAGTCACCGGTGACTGACATGGCGCTTAATGTGTTAAGTTATATTCCTGGTTAGTAGTCTTAAATGGCACTGACTTTGCTGTTAGCCTCCACAACCCACGTGCTTGTTGTGGCCCTCATGTGACTCCTGCTATACCAGGTTGTTTTTGGCTCTTAGGGCAGGCCAGGGAGCTTGCCATTGTGTAGGTAGTAGGTACTTTACTTTTCTACCTGTTGAACTCCTTTTAAGATAATGTTTGGAACAACAGTAGTGGAAGTTTTTCCTAACCTCCTGATCGATTAAAACTCCTATCCATTGTGTGTTCTTTAACTGAGCTCACTCTTCCTGAGGCATGTTAGGAATGAAAAGAAAACTCAGAAATCTGTGTTTTGTGCTCTTTCTTCTTACCTTCCATATACTTTTACTAACACTAAATGCCATTCATTTTGCATTTCATGATGAGGCTTTGTCTTAATTGCTTAGAAAATACTTGTTTCATGGTTCTTATAGGAAACTAAATTTTTCTTTAGAGAATAAAGTAATTGTGAACATGAGACATTGTGTGTCAGTATGCTTTCTCTTATTCCTGTTCTGTGTTGGCTGTTAAAAACACTAGTATTGTCAGTTTCTCAGTTTAGATACTTTGAGTATAGCATAAAGGTAGATAGATTTCCTAAAATTGCTGTTATGTAAATCCTTCTTTGTACTTACCATATTCTTTTTTTCTTTTTTTTCTTTGTAAAGATTTTATTGGGGAAGGGAACATTGCGTTTTTCTAGGACCCATCAGCTCCATCAAGTTGTTGTCCTTCAGTCTTAGTTGTGGAGGGCGCAGCTCAGCTCCAAGTCCAGTTGCTGCTCTCATTCTAGTTGTGGGGGATGGGGTGCAGCCCATCATCCCATGCAGGAGTCAAACCAGCCGCCATTTGGCACCTTAGGGCAGCTCAGCTCGGGCGCATCTCAGCTCATGTGCAGCTCACTGGCCCATGTGGGAATCGAACTGGTGGCCCTATTGCTGAGAGCTCATGCTCTAACCAACTGCGCCACTCAACCGGCCCGATAAGCTTTTTTTAAATTTAAGAAAGACAAACCTAAATAATTCCACATATGTTTCATTTATTAGTAAATATTTATTGATTACTATTGTATGGTAATGTCACTGAATAATCAATATAAAAACATTTGATCTTGGGCTGGCTGAGTCGCACGTTGGTGAGGAGTTGGCTTAGGATGCCAGCTCTGAGCAGTAGGGCCCTGGTTCGGATCCCACATGTGGGCCAGTGACGCTGGACCCTCTACAGCTAAGATGGTGAACAACAGCTTGACCTGGAGCTGGGCTGCGGTGAGTCACTGGCGATGGCGTAGGCTGCTGTGGGGCTGGCTGGTAGCTGGTGTGAACTTTTGTGAGCTGCTGTGAGCCATCATGAGCGGCCGTCCCGGAGACCAACTGCTTCATCCCGGAAGAGTGCAATGATAATACCAACATGGGCCAGTGAAGTGACGTCCTCCACAAGTAGACTGAAGAACAAAAGGACAGCAACTTGTCTGTTTCCCTTCCGTGATTCCCCAACGCTGTTCCCTTCCCCCAATTCCCCACTAAAATCTTTAAAAAAACAAAAAACCAAAAAAACCCATTTGATCTTAGTGTATTTCATTGCTTTAGTCTCAGTGTTTTAGTACAGTTTTAGTTGTACTTTCACCACTCACTTTTAAATTGGAGATAATTAGATCATGTCTTAAAAAAAAATCTATACAAATGACAGTAAAATTTTCTGGGACATCTGACATATGTCCTGCATCACTCTGAACCTGAATCTTTAGAAAAAAATGAAAGATAGTGATGTATAGAATAATCATAAATATGGATAGACTATCTTTAGTTGGCTACTTATAATGACCAAAAGATAAATTATTTAGAAATAGAAAGAGACTTTGGGGTCATTTTATCCATCCTTTCCTTCCCAACTATATGAGTAATGCAAGACCCCAAGTAAATGAAGCAAGCATATGATAATAGTTTTTATTCTTATGGTCTTGATTTCTTTAGACCTATTTATACCATTGATACCCCTGGCATTTTTTAGTTTGTTTACTTAGTAAGTGAAAAATAGGTTAAACAGCTTAGTGAATAATACACTGATTAATTACAGTCTGATGCTTTTGTAGGCAAATAGGCTTTCCTGGAATTGATATGCTTTTTCTCCCAGTATGTGTGTCTTCATTCTCCAAAATAGAGGTGTTTCAGTGGTGCAAAATTCATGATTCTGTATTTCATTTTGTCTCCCTCATTGCAGGTTCATGTCAGGGCTGGCCTTTTTCATGGTACTGAACTCCTGTGTAAAACCATCGTAAGCTCAGAGATATCAGGGAAAAATGATCATATTTGGAATGAACCACTGGAATTTGATATTAATACTTGTGACCTGCCACGAATGGCTAGATTATGTTTTGCCGTTTACACAGTTTTGGATAAAGTGAAAACGAAGAAATCAACTAAAACAATTAATTCCTCTAAATATCAGACCATCAGGAAATCTGGGAAAGTGGTAATTACTAATTTCTGTAAAAATTTTTATAATGGAGTAATTTAATGGAATAATAATATAGTGGAATAATTTTAAGACCTTTTGAAATAATTGAGTAATATAAGTGAAATTATATCATATAACTTTGTTCCCATAAGAACGGATTTTAAAAACACAATAAATCTCCATTTTTATGTTCTGTTCATTCATTTCTGTTTTGGCAAATTTATTTTAGTAACTGTCATACTATAAGTGCTCTATTATAAATGTTATACTTTTTAAAAAATACAGATGAAAAAGAATGAAGAAATTTTTACAGGTCCACAGTCTCTTAACTGAAATTCCAGGTGCCAGATACATTTTGAGAATTCAGAATTTTGTGCATATTTGAAAGATCATAGATATACTTCACTCAACAAACCTGGTAGGATCTAGGGCTCAAATTGGTAATCAAACACATCATTATCTATCAGTGTAATATATTGTAATAAAGATACATCATTATCTATCAGCAAATTAATTAGTCTAAGTATCTACATAAAAGTCATATCAGCTTGGTGCTTCCTTTTTAGAAATATAAATAAATTCTATGATTATACAGAGACATTGCTTTGTCCTATATTAAGAGTTATATTTGCTGAAAGCTCTTAAAACATACAACCTGACTATATCACACATATTTTCTTGAATCATGAGAAGATCCTTATTATTTTCAATGGCTGTACAATAAATATTCTATTTTGGGGATATTTTATTGTACTACATTAATTGGCTTTTGGGTTTTTCTTGAACCAATATAAAGATGTTGAACATTTTCCCATGTACATCTTGTTTTTATTTTGGGTGGTTTTGGGGGAAATCATCTAGAACTCTAGAAGTTTCAAGAACTATGATTATTGAAACAAAGGGCATACAGATGTTCACACCTTAAAATTCATTCTAAGCATATTTATGCAATATCTTTTTCAACAGCATTACCCTGTAGCGTGGGTAAATACGATGGTTTTTGACTTTAAAGGACAGTTGAGATCTGGAGATATAATATTGCACAGCTGGTCTTCATTTCCTGGTAAGATTTACACCCTAAACCTTAGTGTTAAAGAGTAACTGTTGACATGTGGACTAGTTAATGTTTCTTTATAACTCAGTATTCTTTCAGTTTAATAAAGAAACCGTCATTTGGTATCTTCATTGTTTATTCTAAAACTAATTTCCATAGATTATTTTAATATATTAAAAAAGTGATTTGTATCTGCATATATTTGTTATTTCAATGAATGTGTTTTTGCTGTAAACATTTTATACTTACAGGCTTTTGAGAAATTGTCCTAAGGAACAGTGTCTTTGTATAAAAACCTCTATTGCTCCTAGTTGTACTAAATATCTATACTAGTAGAAGGAACATTTCACTCATTTGGCAAGAATAGTAAAAACACTTATTACTTTAGTTGGCTTTTGCCTGAAATTTGAGCTAAGAGGAATACCTTCCACATGCCTATATTTTTCAAGCACTACTCAGAGTACCTCTATGAAGTCAATGTTTTATCCCCGTTTTACAGATGAGGAAAGTGAACCTCAGAGATAATAACTTAGTCTGTCAATTTTGCATAACTGATTAAAACCTAGGATTTGTACAAAAGACTGCTCGACTCTTTTTGTTATTCTGTACTGCTTTCCCAAATGATGGAAATTTTTAGTGTAAACCTGGCCATATAATAATGGTTTTCTTTTTTTTTTTTTTCTGGCTTCATAGTTGGTTATTATATTTTGTAAAATTTTGAACTTAGTTGATTTTAAAATTATTTTGTTGGTGACAAACATTTGAAAATGTTCATATGTTAGTAGTTGCTACCTGAGAATTACTTTTGGAGATATATGTAATTATTTGGACATAAATTACAATGAGTTATTTATGGACATGTTTATATATTCCTCGCATTCTAATATTTTATGTGTATATAGTCTCTTATTTCTATCGTTTCCTGTATATATCTCCAATAATTTTCACTAATCATGTTACTCCCCAAATATAGGAGAGCAGTGTGCATGTACACATTTCTTAAGAGAACCTATAGTTTTACAGTTAGAGTAAAAATTATGCATTTCACAATATACTTCTTTGAAAATCTTAATTTAGACTCACACATTCTACAGAATCATCAAACAACTTGACTGGTATTTTTAGAAAAAATTTTGGAACTATTAACTTGGCATACATACCATGAACCTACTTTATCTCTAAAAAAAAAAACGTAAAATGAGAATAATAAATGAAAACATTTGCTCTGCATGTATCAGCTCTAGAATTGTCACATTTATCCCAGTAGGAGCAAGCCAGAAATAAACTACAAATAATCTATTATCTAGAGTCCCTAGTTCATCATTAAGGTATATAATCACATTTATTGGTTGCTTTTGTGTCTTTCCAGAATTCTTCATGTATACACTGGTAATATAGATGTAGATTTCTATTTTTCTCCCTATTCTACCACAAAACAGCATATTCCATGCAGTGTTCTGCTCTTGGCCCTTTCTACATAGATTGCTACTGCTGCTTTTTAAAGCAGTTATCTTTTGATAATTTAAACAGTGTTATAATGAATAACCTTGTTTATGTGCAGGTATGTATCTAAAATAAATTCCCAGAAGTGGTTTTATTGAGTCAAAGAATAGATACATTTGCAATTTTGATAAATAATCACAAATTGCTCTCCAATAGAGATTGTACCAATTTGTATTCTACATTTATAATACATTAGAATGCCGTTTTTGTAATCACATTTAAGCAAGGTTACCTCCATATGTTTGGGGCTGATAAAAATACTAAAATGCTACATTTGACTTCAGATGACAAGTATAATGCTCCTAGTTATAGTTAGCAAATATAGGATTATAATTTGCTGAGAAAACAGCGTTAGAGGTGTATAAATTATGAGAATTGCTTAAGTCCAGTTGAAAGTAGAATCTGTGAGATGAGAGAGTATTAAAAAAGATGAGCAAAGGATGATTAAGTAGCTGGAATTTTTAAATACTTTTAACAATTTTCTAGCTTCAGGAGATAACTCTGATTGTGCGTACTATGTCAACATTAAGCCTAGACAGAATAGACTATCTTTTATCTCCTCAGGAAGTACAGTGAGAATAACTATGATAAAAATCAGTATGAGAAAAGAGAAATTAGTTTGGAGAGGGGAGACTTCAGGTTGTACTGCAAACTCTGTCCTCTCATCTTGAGTTTCATGTCTCTTCAACAGTTTACTTATCTACCAAATGAGAATGCTATGTGAACTCCAGGGTTTTGTGACAATACTGAATTTGTAAGATCCCCATGCACAATTCTGTGAATGGACCAAGTTTAGGGTGGTAGAAACATAGAAAGAATGTCTCGAAGAAACAAGCAGTTGGTGAGGTGAAAGGGGCACCACTTGAATGGAGTGTTACAAAACTACCAGAGAAGGTGTTTAACTGTATCAGCAGTAATAGGAAATAGAGGAACATTAAGTTTGTCAAAAGGAATGTCATTGATGAGTTTGAAAATATCATTTTGAGAACTCTGATGACCATGAAAATCAGATTGCATATGATAAAGAAATCCATCTATGGTGATGAAATAATAATAATTCATCTGTGCCACCTAATTTTGATGGAGGGAGAGCAGTTTCAATTAAGGTGTTTTTTTTCCCCCAAAATTTAGAATACTTACCAAATTTGAAAAAGAGGTGAGGTAACTATTAATTTTGGTTACTTTTCTTATTTTAAAGATGTGTATAAACTCACATTCAAATTTTGCTCCAAGCATTAACAGAAATTAGAGACTTACTGATATAATTGCCAAACTTCTTTAGATGATACTTTTAAAATAATTTCCATGGTTTAAATCCATTAAAGTTTTGTTTTAGTTTCGTTTCAAAAGCATTTTCTTAAGAATCAAAATTATTTGCATGTTTTAGATGAACTTGAAGAAATGTTGAATCCAATGGGAACTGTTCAAACAAATCCATATACTGAAAATGCAACAGCTTTGCATATCAAATTCCCAGAGAATAAAAAACAACCTTATTATTACCCTCCCTTTGATAAGGTAAGCTAATTGTATAAAGGGCTACTATGCATGCAATAATTGAATGATTAGTTTTGGCTCTATATGTTTATATATGTTTATAGCTCTGTATGTCTATTTCTGTTTCAAAACTTCACATACATTGACAGCTTGGTTCAATGAAAAGACCACTGAGCTGGGAACCAACTCTATTTAGTCCTGGCTTTATCACTGACCAAGTGAGACAGACATGCTATCTCTGGAGTTCAGGTTCTTCTTTTATAAAATGAGGTCATAATTGTTCTCTGAGGTCCTTGTCAATTTAAAAAGTCTATAAATGCATTCATATGTAACTCTGAACATGTGAAATATACGTGTACAGTGAAACATGCCTAGCATGTTAGTTCAGAGATTAAAGACATAATCACTGCTGTGTTAGAGTTGGTATCAAAGAACAGATAATTTATGTTCAACATTACTATTAGTAGGACTTCTAAGGTACTACTGTTTTTGTAGAATCTATAGCAAGGACTTCAGTTTCTAAACACATTTCCTTAATGTGAAGCTGCATATCTATATCTTGGGGATAAGGAGAGTATCTGGTGAGGCTGAAAATAGTACTATGATAATTTACATGCTAAGACAGCTAAGCTGTCATATGTTTTATCTTTGGGTTTGGCATCTTTGTTTCAGGTACAACCGATGCTAATTTTTTGATGAAATCTTTGAGTAAATTCTCAAATAATAAACAAGCTTCTTTTATTTCCTTAATCCATTTGAGAACAAGCTACCTTTAAAAATTGATATTATACTAAATATTTAAGTTAATTTACCTATAAACTAAATTGTATTTTTTTTTTTTTTTAAGATTTTCTTGGGGCATTGGGAGAGGGGAACAACGTTGGGGAATTGGGGAAGGGGAACAGACAAGTTGCTGTCCTTTTGTTCTTCAGTCTA